TAAGATATTTATTCAACGTTTTTTTAGATCTACGAATTCGAGCTATGAAGAAGCAAGAATGAAAACTATAAAACTGGTAATCGAAAGAAAACAAGCTGTTAATACACAAAATGATAACAAAATCAAATTATAAATCGAACATATAATTATCATAATAGAAATGATAAAAGAGGAATTTAATATTAATGTAGAAGAGAAGAAAATAATGATTACCAATTAAATCTTTTTAACTTGGATGAGTAAAAAAATCTTTATATTAGAAGACATTAAATGAATAAACAACAACAACTTCTTCTTTTTAAACATAATAAAAGTGTATGAAATTCAATAACAAAATAATAAACGAATAAATGAATGGACGTATCATCAGTAGATCGCATTTTTATAGCTCTCCATAAAACAGTACTTAAATTGTGTCAACATTGATTTAACTGCTACTTCAAATATTCTCATAGATTATATATTCCAAAAATAAAACAGTTTGTTTGTTAAAAGATATTAAATCATTCAACAACAGATGGTTAAAAGGCTCATTCAGAAACGTTACCTATTAAACTTAAACAATTAAACCATGTGCGTAACAAAATGTAATTATCTACTTATTTTACCGTTGTCTAAGCACCATAAAACATGTAAAAAAATACATTCCTTAGTCTAAAAGAAAAATAGTATGTAATGATAAAAAAAAATATAAAAACACAAGAAAAATTTCATTATCTCCATTTTTAAATTTGATATTCCATAAAAAAATATATAATGCCATTAATAAAGAAATATAATTAGAAACGTTCGATATAATATTTATCGGAGGACAATAGAAATATGCAAATAAACACATTACTTGGTGTCGCACATTCTTTGATTTTTGGGGGATTGTGACCAGACCAGACAATATAAAACAGGAACAGTCAGAATAGAAATACTGTACTTTATGCATGGATTGCTGAGCTTGGAACACCAGTGGATGTGTCACATAAAAAAATATTTGCTATTCATTATTAATCAACATTAATAAATGTATTCAGGTGTTATTTATAAAAAAAAGACTTCTCCATACGCAACTACTCAACTTTAACTTAAATATTCCCTCGATTCACATTATTAATTTCCGACATTGCGTAAAAGTAAAAATTCACTCAATAATACAAATTCGGAAACTGCCGAGCATGAAATGTAAGGAAAATAACCTGTAATTTAGATTTACAAAAAAATATATTGGATGTAAACTTAATGTCATAAATAATACATGACAATAATAATAACAATAAATGTAATAACTGAAACGAAACATGCAAAACTAACATTATTGAATAAATAAAAAATAATAATATAGATGAGTTACGTCTATGATTACTTGTTGCAACATCGTTAATAATTACTGCCTGCCGCAATTAATTCAACACTTAAATTTTGGTTTCCATAAAAAGAAAAATTGTAATTAAAATATATTTTCAAAACTTATTAACTACTTTTTAATTCTGTACGGAAAAATAACATTCTTATAAAGAATGAAAACATTTTAGAATATAAATAAATAAAGAACTCGTTAATTGGAAAGAAATTGCTAAATTTCATAATTACATAATTATAATATAATCTCTATTATTAATCATTCAGGTATTAAAAGATACAGTTTACATACATGCAATTTATATTACTTTAAATTATATGTATTTTACAATTGTAATTTCGTCAAAGTTAGATGATAGCAATCGTTTCTTACTAATTATGTGCAAGAGTGTTGCACTGTATGACTTAGTGTTCCGCTACTCTTTGTAAATATTAATAGCACTAATAAAACGGATATGATTTGTCACATCAGACATATATTATTTTTGAGCAATTAAACACCGACACTTCCGCAATTAATGAACAAAAAAAAATAAAATTACTCTTAAAAAGTATTTGGTAATAAAGATACAAGAACAATTTATCTAATTTGTTAATTATTACTTACTGACATTATTCTACAATATATTTATACTGAACTAATTAGATGAATTAGTAAATTATAATTGCTACTAAGAATTGCGACATGAGATTAAAAAAAAGAGCTATATCTAAGAGTATAATTTAGCATTTTCTCTAATTTACTGCCTGAAATGAAGTTGTCGAATATGTAATGAGAAGAAAGGAATGCGAGGGTGAAACATGCGGGAGCTAAAATAAAAACATGCCAGTGTGATTATTAATTCTTTTATTTTATTACGAAAACAAGAACAAAAAGAATGCAATAATAATGCAATGAATAATTGTGTTCAATTTTTAACGGTTTACAGGTGCAATGTGGGTGGCCTACAAATTAGGAGTGAAATTTAAACATGACGTTGATAGTTGTGTATGTTTACTGCAAGATAGAACAACTAACCAAAAACAAGCAATTGTTTGTTTAAGATTATCCTGAATTATCATTATCTTGAAGTAATTTCTATGTTTAGTGTCAATACAGAGCCGAATGATATACCTAAGTTGTTTTATCTTCTATGTATTAAATTGGAGTGAAGATGCAGTCACGGTTCTATGTTATGATCGAAGGTAAGGTTGTTTCTGCAGAGGAGACATGCAATCGGCGATATGTCGTTAGCAATTACGCAAATTGCTATTTAGTAGGAAGCCCAATGTGCGAATGTAGGTCACATTTAACCTACAACCTTAGCCCACACGGATCCACGAACCCTGTGGAAAGTAAGCCCGTGAACCCACGTAATCGAAACGCCCGGGACATCACGACCATAACATAAACAATCATTTTGTATAAACAAAAACATCACTCGGCCGCATTCATCCTCACTCACTTCGTTCTTTAAGCTCTCACCTTCTTTAATATCTATTTACTTTAAGCGGGGTCTCTCAGCATTGGCGCGCAACGACTCAACAAACATCGGGACATAAACTTAACGCAAACCGAAAACTTAACAAGACATAATTAAACAGTTGCGAATTAACTCAGGATTTGAAAAGGATGTGTAAATGATTACACCACCCTGCACACAATCTGCCATGCTTCGCCTCGGACTGATCGGGTATGAGCGCATGCTCCGCCTCTGTCATCTCGCATTCTGCCTTATAAGTAGGCATCCCCAAGCACACAACCTTTATGTACTGCTGATGCTGCTACTGCCCGAAGCCGCATTATGTATTTAAAGCCCAAATGCCACGATAAAAATCGCAGCTACACATGTATTATTTACAGTACTCCATTCATTATTGATTCTGCACAGCCGAGCAGCACAACAATTGTTCTGCGCGACATTGTTCAAACGCCGTGCACACAATCACAGTCGCTCTCTCCACACAAATCACAAACACATTATATATGTATGCGATACAACCATTTCCATACATAATAGATCTTCTCTATTTAATGCAATCTCAACTTCTGCTCCTACGACCAACTATCAACTAGCACGTTTTATTTATAGTCTGGTCTAGCCGAAAAACCATTAGATTTTGATCACACCGATTGCAAAACTTTGATTTACTGTACGCAAGATACTACATTAATAGCATTCCAACTGTTAAAACTGATTTAAATGACTTTCATTCCAATGATCTTAATCGCAAAAGTTATATGTAACCATGGGTTCTCCTTCCTAGATATGAATACATGTATTAATTTCTAATTATTTAAATAATGAATATCAATAAACAAAAAAAATAAGGAAATATTTAATCAAATAGATATTTCAATATAATATAAATAAATTGAACATTTGTAGAGTAGCACTTTTCTTCTTCAGTAATGAAATGGTTATTTTTTGTTTAACGTAGATTTACATGTTAATTGTCCTACTTATTTGGTTTAGCGATAAAGCCTATATAGTCCAGGGTCTAGTGACACCGGAAATTACCAATCCTATGGGGGTTTATGTAAACAGATACGCAAGTGCAGTGGCGCAGACATAGGTAACACCCTCTTCAAAATATTAAAGCTGAATTATTAATAATTTAGGGAGCAATTTTATAGTTGTTGTAATAAATGTAAATGTCCTTTCGAGCAAAAGCAATTGATCTAAGTCTTTCAGACTATTATATATTATTTCTAATTATTTCTTCAGTTTATCATTATTTTATAAAAAGTAAATAAATGCTTTGTTTATTTAGAATAATCATATTCTATTCATATTATCACGAGTGACATTCATTTTGCAAAAAATGTCATAAATAACAGTAGCAAAGTAATACTAACACAACGTATAATAGTGATATTACTTCAAAAAAGATAAAATGATGACGATGGTAATATCAACATTTTGTGTAGTAATGGTATTTAGTAAGTGTACAGTATTTTAGTATTATAGGACGTTTATGTGTAATAATGTGTGCTAAAATACAGTGTTCTGGAGTATGGTTCAATATCAACAAAATGAAATTTGTTAACAGATATAAGTTTATTAATATTTCTTATATTAGTTTTAAAAACATTAATAAAAATGCTTAATTATAGGAAAGTTTCTAAGCCAACTGCTTTTATTTAAAATAATAATCATAATTTATTTCATATATGCACATATATACCAAAAGCTACTTACGTGCGTTATATTTAATTAAAATTATAATTATAAATCAGAAAATTGAATGGCTTTACAAAAGATTTTACTATATTCTACCTAAATTCTTATTCATTCATATTGTTTGTAATTTGATGGTTGTTGAAATAAATATAAATATTGAAATAAATATAAATTTAATATTTTTGTATGATATTAACTATAATTCAAAATCAAATTGTTGAAATAAACTATTTAATAGAAGTAATACTATTTTTTAGAATGCACAGAAAATTTTAAGTCTGTGTTTCGTGCACATTATAAAAAAATCTGATTTGATTGAAAATTTGATTCTTGTATAAATAAATCATACTATTTTCGCCATCTGTAGACTATATATTAAAATACTTTGAGAAAGTTTTTAATATTGTTTATAAAATTTAAATAGAACATGTGCGCATATACATTTGGTTAATTGTACCCTTAGATTAGATAATGCTTTGAATATACGTGAAAATTATTGATATGGCACAAAAATAGTCGAAAGATGTCACTATGAAGTTGAATCGAGAATTCTCTGGTAAAGTCTGGAAAAGAACCATGCAAAAAGAAATTACGAACATCAGCTGTTCAGGTTCTTATTAGATCCGTTTGACGAAGCGCCGGTGCGGTAAATAAACAATAGTGCGAAGACCCAACTAATAAGTGTATGTTTAAAGAAAACGGACTCAAATTAACTACTTGACACTTGCCTTTGATCTGGAAGAGCCTCAACCATAATTCTTGTAGTAATAATATGAATATGGCAAACGACCATAACCAACAAAACAGGCCAAATATATTTGGACCAGATTTCAATTATCCTCCACCAAATGCAGAGTGGAATCGGTTTGTAGCTAGCTCAACATACTATGAACACCCAAACTTCCCATTCTCCTCCAATTTTGGACCCAGTCCTGTCACCTTTCCAATCCAGCCAGCACAGGTGATCACACCATCGTTCACTTCTTTCCCATCAACATCTTCAACAGATTCTCTCAGTGAATACTCTGCTGCATTTCAAAGATGTAAACAGATGAGATGTAAGAGAAAAACTGATTCACCACTGTAAGTATTTACTTTTGATTATGTATAAACAAATTAATGATTGACATCCCTAGGCCCACTATGAACAAGCAACACATAACTGAAGAGAAGATGGCTGAACATTTAGCAAAACTTCATATCAGTTCAGAGACACCGGCAAGAAATGAACCAGAGGAAAGAAGAGTCAAAAGATTATACATGTGTGATGAAATGAGGAAATTGCAGTCTGAGTCTATTTTACCAAGTTCCTTATTGAATAAAATACAGAGGCCATGCACTGCCCTAGTCCTGTGGCAACCACCACAGAGGCTTGTACCTGCTGCTGATGTAAATGAGAACAGCAACAACAACAATGAAGAGGTGCCAGACCATAACTTAATGGAAACGGATGGGCGATAGCATCATTGATTTTAAACTTTGGATATTTTACAAAAAAAAAAAAACTTATTTAATATTATTGAGAACTCTCTTTCCTTACAAGACTAATTGTTTTCAACTTGTTTGTTGTATATAAAATGTACTTCATTTAAAATTATATATATATAAGCATTAATTATCAGGATGGTAAAAATATGTGTGTGTTTCACTGTCGAATATGTTTTATTTTTCAATAAAATTTGTTTCATGTAAATGTAATACTTGAGATATTTTAATACAAGAGAATAAATATAACATTCTAGATCTGAACAATAAAATATTTTAAAATCACAACAACGATAATATGAGGCCGAATATAGGTTAAAATACGCTAATAAATTACTTTTATTATTGGTCCGTAAAAATAAAGATCATTAAGGTAAAAAACATCTCTAGGCGAAGAACTCATTCTTTCCGCATAGCTCGTACTCGCTTTCCTCGTTCTTGTACATTTCTATTAGTTTTTGGATATCGTGCGAGAGCATCTCCAACTGTTTGTCGTGCTTTATCTTCAATTTATCTTTTTCTTTCGCTTGCTTAATTTTCATAGTCTTTCTTTCATCAACAAATTTCTTGGTGTTATTCTGTTGCTTCTCCTTCAATCTTCTATCTTTTTCTTGTTTAGTTTTTAAAGTTTTATCATTATTAACCTGTAAATAATTTAATTAAAAATAATATTCAGTTTACGCTTAATAATTACCTCTTTGGCTGTTTCAACAGAGGTCTTGGCTTGTCTACTATTCATTTCCTTCACGTCCCTTTCATGTCTAGCCTCTAATTGTTTCACTTGAGAAGCTTGAATTAATTCCATATGCTTCCTGAGTACATCCCTTTGATCGTCCAGTTGCAAACGCAATGATTCCCATTCTTGTTTCCTGTGCTTTTCCATCAATTCGCTCCATTGCACAGTTTGTTCAGCAACAAGCTTTCTAATAGCCGGGTCATTATTCAAATCGCCTTTATTCTTACCTTTAATTAGTTTATCTATGGCAGTACACTGAGCCTTCTGCATTGCTAATTTCTCTTTAGACTGTTTCTTTTTTAGCGTTTCAAATTCCTTTTGCTGTTTTTTTGTGGTTTTTTGAAAACCTTTATCTTGTCTTATATATTCGATTGTAATAGGTTCAAAAACCAACGGTTCTGAAAAATGTCTAACTGTAATTCATATTTACCAAACAATTATTTAATCACAAACCTTCTTTCTTTTCTTCTTTCTTATCTTTGTTGATATCTCCCTTACTATCAGTTACCTTAATTAATAAATAAAAATAATTATTGAAACACAACTACTATTTGTAAGCTACTTATACCTCAATACCCATGGAAGACATCTGCTCATTCTGTTTTTGTTGGGCTCCCATGAAACCTCTAGGGTCGCTTAAAGCGGCCATAAAGTCTTCAAAACCATCAGGTACATAAATTTTCAATTCAATATTGCAAAACAACATGGGTAAAGACATGGGAAAATTGGCTTCAGTCCTTAAAGAGATATGACGGTATCCCGCCTGAAGACCATCTAGGGGTAAAATCCTTTGGCCAAGTAATTTTCCACCTTCGTCGTAAACTCCAAAACGAAGTACAGCAAGATCTGGCAGGACAACTTTACGGAACAAAAACGGTTCCTCGTTGTAAACGGGGTTTAGACCATTTGCTGGTACCATGCGGGTTCTAAATTCCTTTCTGATTGTATCGGTGGGCAAACCATACATATCGACCTCCACATAAGTTCCTACCTATATAAATAATCATTTAATATGTTGTTAATCTTGGTACAGATGATATTCACCTTTTTATCGGATAAAAATTGTCCTGCAATAACTCGAACCGAACATTGAGCTGCGATTACACCATCCACAGGGCTTTCAGCGAATGGATCGAAAGTACGGTCAGCCCTTCTCATAAAGTCAGGTTTCAGCAGATATCCGCAGTTACCATTGTATTCGAATTTACCCTGGTTCAGTTGCATAGGCAAATCAGAAGTTTGAAAATTCAATGAAACCATCTGACAGCCAGCATTCCAGAACACCTAAAATATTTCAAATCATTATGTTTCTATGTATGTTTTTATTTAAAATCAATTCACCTGTGGCATATAGTTAGATGAATTAGCACGTGTTCCGCTAGGATAAATTCTGGACATTTGCCTTTTATTGTAGTTTACAAATTCAATTGCTTGAGTTTTCAAATAATTCAATCCGGTGGGTTCGGAAAAGCTGGACATATTGTGGTGAACATTCTTTTCTGCAATAAACAATTCAATAAATATAAATGCTTAAAGATTCCTTTAGATATACACACTTTCGGCTATATCGAAACTCTGGAATTTTACCGGCTGCGCGTAATTTACCATTGAACTCAACCATGGATGGACGTTTGTTGTGGAGCCAGTGTATTGTACTGGCGGAGGAGCATCTCCATCAGCACCAGCTGGTTCTTCCGGACCAGGTGTCTGAAATATACCGGTCGTAACCACTGTTATGTATTATTGCAAACGAAGTTGAATTACCACTTCTACAGGTACTTCAGGTGGTGGAGTCTTGTCAACTGGAGCACTCGCATCTTCTTTTTCTTCATCTTCAATAACAAACTGACCTTGCCTGAACAGCTCAAGTTCCTGCTTTTCCACTTCTGGTTTTAATCTGAAAAACAGATAAGACATTTGGTATTAGTGCATAACAGGATGTGGTATTCTAAGATATTGTGAATTTGAAAAAATAATAATTTACCTCTTGTTTTTAATTAAAATCTTTCTCTTCAGCAAACATGGAGGTGCCAATGGGGCACCCGGTTCTAGAGGATAATCTTCCAATTGTTCTTTCAACAATAAATCCCCTAAAAACAATCAATTAAAAATATATAATACTATAATTACATATGTATTTTACCAAATATGTCATCACAATATTTAGCCATTTTATGCTGTTGAGTTTTGCAACAATGATTCTCGAAAGAAAGAATGACGGGGTAATCGGAAGTCACAAAAGCTGTATCTCGGATTGCATAGATAACATCTTTGAAGAGGATGTCTGTACACATTGCTTTACCGTGGGTTATAATCGGTTCCTCGTCTTCGCCCTTTCCTAAATTTAAATCATTAACAATTTTCGGGAAATTGAAAAAATAATCAAATTCTTACCATCCCAACAATCTAATTCGACGCATCGACAACCAGCCAATAAAACTTGCCTGTACATTTCTACTGAAGATTTTCCACCAAACTGTCTGCCTGATAAGTAAGTGTTATGACTAGAATTGATGTAATAATGGCATAACGGCTGATCCATCTCCATATAAATGTCGAGTCGGTCCAGGAAAACTGGAGCGTTTTCGTCGGACATCAAATATCTTAAAAAACATTCAATTTTAATTAATTAACTCAATTGTACATCTTTAAACGCCTACCGAATTAATCCATCTTTTGTTAGTCTGTTTTCTTTTACGACTGCTTCATCCTGTTCGTAAGTTGCAATAATCTCTGCAGCTCTCTTCTCTTCGTAAAGTGGATATAAAATTTCATTTAGACGAGGATCTCTTTGTTTATCATTCATAAATGTTATAAATTGCTCTAAGTTGATGAATTCTTTTCCTTTTCCACTGAAACAATATTATAAATAAGTTCAAGAAAATAATATAAAAGCATTTAAAGACGTTATTTAAATAAATTTATATTATAAAACTTCTAATATTTGGTAAAAACCCATGATTAGCACTTTGGATTTACGTTTGGCTAACTTTAAGTAAATATTGATTTTTTAAATTTAAACAAATATTATTTGCATTAAAATATGCACCTTTTTCTAAGGAAGTATACTAAATCAAAACAAAACTTATCAATTTTCAAACAAAGCCTCAGACCACAACATCCTTATCATAGAGTATAAAAGGCTAACACAACCAAAATTCTACAACAGTTCTCGAGGTGAATTGTCTTGAGAAACACCAAAGCTCATAATCATGACGGCAACTGACAAAAAACAAAACCTTTTGCTGCTCTTCGATCGCCCTCAAGAACCGGTATTCATTCCAAAGGGTCCCAAGAAGAGTAGCTTCAATGTTCCTCAAAGCTATTTGGTAAGTATATATTTAGATCATATATAATTTACGTGCAATTATATTGTTTTAAAGGCTGATCGGTATAAACCAATCGGGGTAGAATTGTTTAATCGATTCGGAGAAGACGCATCCGAGAAGATTCCAGTCAAGGAAATTGCGCTGCCAAATTTGGGCGAAATTTTGGATCTGGGTCGTCATGAGAATTTCTCCCTGTTCTTGCCAAAGCACCGTAGATTGGCAGGTCGTCTGATCGACATTTTCCTTGGAATGAGAAATGTTGATGAATTGCAATCCATTGCTGTCTTCTCTCGTGACCGTGTGAATCCGTACTTGTTCAACTACGCTCTGTCTGTTGCTATACTTCATCGCAAGGACACTCAGGATCTGGATTTACCTTCCTTTATTCAATCTTTCCCTGATAAATATGTCGACAGCAAAGTATTCACCAGAGCCAGAGAAGAAGCTACAATTGTTCCTGATGGAAATAGGGTAAAATCATGATATAAATAATAACAAGAATTATTAAATCTCAAAAATACATATTTAGGAACCAATTGAAATTCCAAGAGATTACACCGCTTCCAACTTAGAAACGGAGCATCGTCTTGCCTACTTCCGTGAAGATTTGGGTATCAATTTGCATCATTGGCATTGGCATTTGGTTTATCCATTCGAGGGATCTCCTACTGTAGTCAACAAGAACAGGCGCGGTGAACTTTTCTACTACATGCATCAACAGATTATCGCTAGATACAACTTCGAACGTCTCAGCAACAAATTGAAGCGCGTAGAAAGGTGGACAGATTGGAAGGCTCCAATTGAAGAAGCTTACTTCCCGAAGTTGGACAGTTTGGTTGCTAGTAGGGCTTGGCCAGCTCGCGTCGCCCGCCAAACCATTTCCAATTTGAACAGGGAAGTTGATCAAATCCAACAAGATGTTGATGATTTGATCCGCTGGAGGGATAGGATTTACGCTGCCATTCATTCTGGATTTGTTACCAATGTAAATATGATACACACAATTTGCAAAAAAATGCAATTTTTAAGTAATACAACTTTAGGAAAGTGGACAACAAATCCCGTTGACTGAAAACGAAGGTATCGACATCCTGGGCAACATCATGGAATCAAGCAACTTGTCTCCAAATAGGACTTTCTACGGAGACATGCACAACATGGGACACGTTTTCATTTCTTACATCCATGACCCTGATCACAGGCATTTGGTATATACAAACATTAATATTTTCCAGATTATTTTTACTAATATATAATTTAGGAATCATTTGGCGTTATGGGAGATTCGGCTACAGCCATGAGGGATCCTATTTTCTACCGTTGGCACGCATACATCGATGATATGTTCCAAGAGTACAAAGCAACCTTACCGAGATACAATGAAGAAAACGTAATTTAAAATTAGAAACTAGTAATAACATAATTTCTTAAATTCTATACTTTCTATAGTTGAATTATCCTGGAGTAACTGTCGATAAAATCGAAGTTATGGTTCAAGGAGGAAAACCCAATATGTTGAACACCTTCTGGCAACAATCAGATGTCGATTTATCTCGTGGCATGGACTTCCAACCTCGCGGTCCAGTATTCGCTAGATTTACACACTTGCAACATCAACCATTCACCTACAATATCACTGTGAATAACCAGGCCGGAGCTGGCAAGATGGGTACCTGCCGTGTCTTCCTCGCTCCTAAATTTGACGAAAGGGGCAACCCATGGTTGTTCAGAGATCAAAAGAATCTCTTCATCGAACTTGATAAATTCGTGGTGACACGTGAGTCTTTGAAAATATTATATAACTAAACGACATTGAATATTGGAATTTTAGTTCGTCAGGGCATGAACACCATTACTAGGACTTCTGATCTATCTTCTGTGACTATTCCATTTGAACGCACTTTCCGTAACCTCGATAACTCGAGACCAACCGGAGGTGAAGCTTTGGCACAATTCAACTTCTGTGGTTGCGGATGGCCCGCACACATGTTGCTTCCTATGGGAAGCCCCGAAGGATTCCAATGTCAACTGTTCGTTATGATTTCTAACTACGAACTCGATAGGGTAAGTACATAACAAAATACAACGAATACATAAACTGATGATTGAATAATAGGTCAACCAGACTACGGAAGGTGTGTGCAACGACTCTGCTAGTTACTGTGGAATCAAGGACAAGCTGTACCCTGACCGCAGGTCTATGGGTTATCCATTCGACCGTATGCCACGTCCCCGTGTTGACACTCTTCAGCAATTCTTGACAACCAACATGAGGGTACAAGATTGCATCATCAAATTCACCGATCGCGTGGTCCAGAGACCAGCCGCACGCACTTAAAGTATTTAATGAAGACCATGGCATAATTTTTTGAATTCGACATAATTGATATGTAGCAAAATGAAAATAAACAAATATATCTTAAAATTCTTCTTACATTTCTCTGAACAGCTCCTCGATGTCGTTCCTTGGGCAGATCTTATGATAAAGCGCATAGAACTTATCGAAGGTGAATGCATCCTTATCCATGACATCGCCCTTTCCGGATGGCAATCCCATTTCCGACAAGCATTGATGAACTAATTTCTCGGTTTTACCAGAGGCAAACGTTTTAGCGATCACTTTCACGGGAATCTTCCCTTTTGGATCCACCAAGAAACCCAACCTCATCCAACTAAAATACAGTGAATATTACCATTGATAATAAAATTAAGTGGTTAAACGTGCAAAATGTTTGTTACTTGATGAATGATATTGTGCAATTTGTATTTAAAACTAATTTAACAAATTCATTTTTGATTACTGCTATATGAACACATCTACAAATAGTTTCGCAATTTAAGTTTGTTAATTTTTATTTGCAAATATCGATTTTTTATTGATCAATCAAAAATGAAAAATATAAATAACGTTTTATGTGTGTTTGTTGTTTCAGTGTTTCATACATATCGTTAAATAATAATGTGAATATATGCATGCATTTATTATGTACAACTTTATGGTTTTGGCGCATTATGTAAAAGTATTTCACAAGTTGGCAAATATAAAAGCAAGTAATAAAGTGTGCAAGTACAAAGAAATAAAAAAAGAACATTAAGCTACTTCAAAAATAACTATTTGAACTAATAATAAAATCAAATATTAACAGTATTGCCGTGCGGGCGCATCGTTCGATAAAATATTATAACATTTATTAAAAACAAAAAAATAAGTGTTCTCATCTATTTGCGATGATTTCGGGTTAACAGAAAAACTCACTGTTTCATAAGAGTAGTACGAGGACACACATTACTTATTTTATTATTATGAGTAATAACTCTCAAGCTCTCCTGCCAATTCTTTAGACATGCAATATAAAAGAGACCTGATTAATTTCGACATGCAATATAATGGATTATATAAGAGACAGAAGAGAAGAAGCATTCTGAATATTGCCTGCATGCAATTATTCAAATCAACATTAAACTTACTGCTTTTTCAAACAAGTCATTGGACAGAAGTTATTCGCTTTGACATTATGTGTAATCTTTCTCAAACCATCCAACCACACCTTCAAGATATTAATAAAAGTTTAAATTATTACAGAATACAAATTGGTAAATTTTCAAGCATACATGCAATTAATCTACTATATTCAATTTACCTTAGCTGTGGTAGCATCTGGACACACAATATGCTGATAATTTATATTGATGTAATCCGTGCCACTGCATATTGTTAGAGATTTCTCATCCAAGTTATTACCATGCTTCTTCTCCAGATTGGAAAGCAGCTTTCTGTCAATTGGGATTCCACCAGCTCGAATATCACTCACTTGGCATAACTCAATAACATCACCTTCCTGCAATAGCAATGTACTATAGGATATCCTTTTTAATCAATCTATGTACAGCCATTACCTTGTCATCACTCTTCCAATAAATAAAAAATCCATACTCATCCACTTTAAACATGCAGCTCTTCTCAAATTCAGTGTTGTCCTTCTCCTCAGTCCATCGATCAAATACACAACCCTGCTGCAGTATTTCAGGCACAGGGATGTGCCAATCAAACTCGAACTTCTTAGTCATGTTTCCACTCAGCAACTAAGCAACCTTAAACTGAAGCAAAGGCCTCGGTGAAGGAAACTACTCAAAATAAACTCACCAAAAATAAATTTATTTACATTAAGGAGAAATCCAAAAATATTGTTTAGATTAGAGAAACGAAGGTAGAACATAAATTGGCGGAAACCGCTTTGAAACTGACATAATAGAATACATGTGTTTGGGAGTATGGGCAGCTAAAAGTGCGAGCAACTATTTAATAAAATGAAAGACGAGGCGGTGCGATCTAATTGACAACTGCTTTCATGTACAACACTCACTCCAAAACATGAATGGAAACCGAACGGAGATCACATTGTTTACATTTGTCCGTTTGTTACGGCAGCAAATTGAAATTTGCGTCATGAAGACCAATTGATTTACGTCAAAATTCTACAGTCAGACATTACGGCAACTTCGTGAACATGAGCAAACAAATCAACAAAGGCGTAGCAGAGCAGCACAGCATCAATCTGAACAAATCGAGTAGGCGGGTTCCTGCAGAATATCAATGAAAACGTTGACACGTGGCTCCTTCCAGCGACAAATTATGGAATCATTTCAAAATTCAAATTATACTCAAAGATAAGACTGTTTACTGGATAAGATATCTTATCTTGGTGAATTATACTTAAGCAACTGTGGTTAACATATATTTGGCATTTCCTTCAACACTTTAACCAATTTATTTTCAATAGAAATTATCCACATTGTATTACATAAAGTACAAAAACAATATCCAAAAACAATTTCATATTAATATCATATACATAATTATTAATACAAATGAAAGTTTGTAACTGAACTATTATCTAACTTTTGCTTAATTGTTTACTTATTGCACAAAACCATATATAAAGTAATATTAACGGTAGTCGTTTCGTCAGTATTTATTTATCTCTTAATTAACACCTCACAGACAAACACATTAAATGAGATTCAATTGCATTTCAGCATTTACAATCTAGCTTTTAATTATATGCACATACATCCATATATTCATGCTTACTTACAAGTTCTTATATCAGTTTCTTGAAATGTTACCTGCAAGATTAGTTATATATACAAAACCATTAAAAAAGAAAGGAATGTTAGGGTTTGTGAAGCTAGAGTGTCTACGTCACTGATGTTATAAAACAAAGATTCCAAGATTGGATTTAACCGCATTTAACACGGCACAAACGGATGAAATTTTTGAATAGTCGACAAGTTGAAACTGAAAGGTACAAATACAGCTTTAAAAATAGTTTAAATGCACAAGGACACGTCTCCTTGTAAACTGTTTGTAAATACTCGAATTCTTTGGTGATGTTGTAATGCTCTTAAATTACTGAATTTATATAACAACAAAATAGTTATTGCTATTCTAATATCTCTAATACCATAAAATAATTATCAAATATTTATATTTTTGATATTCTTAACAACAATTTTCATATTGTTTAACAAAATTACAAATTTGAAAGTAATATTGTAAGAAATCTGTAATAAATTGTTCTTACATTAGTATATATGAGAATAAATATAATTGAATCAATATAGAATGTAAGGATTCGAATAAATAAAAAGGATTTTGAAAGGTTTCATTTGTTTTTGTACTTAAGAAGTCGTTTTATCGCATTTCAAATGCGAATAATTTAAATGTTTTGTTTGTAATAATTATGATTAATATTCATTAACTATTGTTAAGAGTTTATCTGATTTATCTTATCTATAGCTGTATAAAAGATCACCTTCTTTGTATATATTCGCTTGCATTATAGAATTGCGTACTTTGGTCGTTCCTCATACTGTTTTTTATTGTTATTTTTACTATTAAATAAAGCTTTTTTAAAATTATTATATGGACGTGATGCATTATGTTCAAGATTATAAGTAATGTAAAATTAATTATAAACATAAAAATTAATAATTCTTAAGAATTGTTAACACTAACAGTAATAATGACGTATAAAGGTTTATTTAACACTGTACATTTATTATGACAGAACATATATGTCACAAGTTACCTCATTAACTTATATTATTATATTTAACTTTCACAAGCTTGACAACTGCAAAATGGAAGTATTGTTCCAATTTATACAAAGAAAGATAATGTAATTTTGGTAAATTACTAACAAAAGTGTAGTTCAATATGTTTTAATATAATGGTTTGTAGCTACCATCTGGTAACCATATTTTTGCTTGTGCTCAAAAGATTATCAGCATATATACATAAAATCACAAAGGTTGTAAGTGGGTAGAACCAGACTTTCATTGAGTTTTTTCCTTCTACCTGTGCTTAATGAAGGATTTATAGTGTTCAGAACCTATTAAAATTTAATTTCCATATTAATAAATCGTTTTATATTTCGATCAATGGCAAAGACCCACCCATAGTTCGTATTCTTAAATCGTCATTTGGTCAGGCTATTTTTATACCAACTAACATAGACTGTGATAGGATTGAAATAAGAAGTAAAACAATACAGCTAGGTTTCTTAAATACACTGTATAACATGAACCTTTTCAAAGTAGCTAATTAATTAATTAATTTTAAACATTTATCTTCGTATAATGAAAATTTAATATAAAAAAATCGTTATCTATCGATATCACGAGATTTCAATGTACAAAAAAAAGTTCGAAATTAAATTTGAAACATAAAAGTCCTAACTTCATTGTTTATCCGCAAATATAGGAAAAAAAACTTCATGCAATTCAAGATCGTGTAAAGTCCAGTTTGTTAATAGCTCTAAAATAATATCTTACGTATGTAAAACAAATTGCTAAATGCGTCTTATTATTGAAACTGAACAAAATAAAAATTGATGTCCCGGTTATTGTATGCAATTATTTTAAATGCTAATCTTAATAGTTTTGATATACTTTTTAGCATCCACAAATTTAGTGATCGATTTTTAAAAGATCATTTCGATAACATTTATATAATTAAACCGAAAGATAAAATCGATCGCACAATTAAAAAATTACAATTTGTCTAAATTGAATGGAATGCGTCATGATCTATAATTGCAACGGATTGCAAACAATTGCTTTATTAAATGTGATATTACTTACTTTGTCAAGTGCATGTTAAACGTAAACTATGTGGACTGATTCTCTGACAAAAAAAACACACACACAAAGAGGTCTCACCGGGATAGACAATTCAATTATCGGATTATTTTAAATTTAATTTAGCTAAGCCATAAACTCATGCAAATATACTCAAAGCATTAAAATAATATGCATATGGATTCAAAAACGATCATATGCTATACAGTAAACTTTCATATAACGCGTTAATATCATAATTCGACTTCCGTATAACGCGGAACAAATTTGCGACAGTGGTTTTCTATATCAAATAAATGTAATAAGATGAAAACGAATTGATGACATTAATTAATTTCTATATTAAGTGTATTGGTAGATGAAACTATAAATAAATAATGGATTGACAATATACATTTGAATGATAACAAATGGCGACTTTATTTGAGAAATTATTTGAATTGCATTTCTTTAGGACGCGAATTAATCTGATTTATACTCAAAATTCTGAGATTTATATTAATACTGAATTTCATGTTACGCGATTTCCATATTACGCAGTATCAATAAATCGTGTTAGTGTACTGTATGCTATTGATTGATTTATTCGCAATATAATTACTTACAATTATCTCCAATGTTTTAATACTTTTAGTAAAGTGTCAAAAGCACATTAAAAGATTTTCATACCAACTAACTAAATATGAAAAATATTGATTTACATTCTTATTATATGTTATAAATAATCAGATGAAACATAATAATTTCTGAAAAAAATATCTATAAGACGCAAGAATTAAAGTCCAGTTTTTTACAATAAAAATGTAAAATTATCAAAAGATATTATTAACACATTAACAATACAATATAGGAACAATATAATTTCATGAATGTTTTACATAGCTATACAATCAAATAAATTAAACAAAATTGGTCTTTCACATTATTTATATTATTTGTATATTTGATATACCAATATCAAATCATACAATAGTTACTACATTTGTAGATAATATTAATGTTGACTCATAATAATCAAGAGGCATGTCATCATTCAAATTGACCTAAATCATTAATTATGTCATTTTTGAACAAAGCCAACTGCAAAATCCTCATATTTCGTTGAATTACTTATTTCTATATATGACCAATTAAATTTAATTGAGAATGTAGATTGTTTAAAAAAAAATCTATTGTATTTTAGAAGTAAATAGTTAAAGAAAACTTCATATTTCGTTAAATTTGTATTTATTTTTATCGGGATAGTCAAATAAAATGTGTACAATAAAAAGCAGGAGAAAATTACATAAATTCTTATTTAATGTATTTTAATTGAAGCGATATTATCCAGCTGCTTTACAAACAAGTACAAAACAAGCAACAGCAGATTCCAAATACAAAGAAATGACAACATTGGTTATTCCAGCAACTAAATAAAATTCCAAATTGCGTCTTTAATGATTCTCCATGCTACGTACTTTGTACATTTCCATGCGAAATCTGTAATAATCGTGCGAATACATCCATATCTCAACTACACTTTAGATATTAGACCCACGGGCATTGTTCGCAAATCTCGCTTTATCAAAATTGCCAAAAAATTAAATTAATGACATTTTCAATAAATCGAAATTAAATTATCGCCAAGATGGACATCTTTTTCGTATTTGTTTTTTTTTAAACAAAGGTTAAATAACGTAATAGGTCTGCAGTTATGAACTGATTAGTACCAATTGAGCAATTCTTTGTGCATTTCAATTAATTCATTAAAGTGTTTAGTGAGGCACATTGGCGAGGATCAGTGACCTCTGAGTTGCTGAAATCTACCTCGTCCATTGAAAAATAGTTTTCGAACGTAGGAACAACGATCAACAGAAACGTGCCCCTCTGACGTATATCGCTGATATATAATTATAATATCGTAATAACGCGATTAAGAATTGAATGTATTTTTTCACGCTCTACTTATTCTAATATCGATCTATAATGTTTTTTTTTTGGTTTCGCGTAAAGAAAATAAACAAGTAAATAAATAAATAAAATAAAAATTAAATGAAAGAGGAAAGCAGTAGTAAGTAAACAAATGGAATCGTATATTATGCCAGTTATTATCTGCTGAGTTGATAGATAACGTTGATGGCAAACGAGCAACGGCTCTTTGTTCGGCTTTTTGTTTTACATGAATTTGTGTTGATTGAGACCCCGAGTGGCCGTGGATACATATGACCCATACACACTCACACGCGAAGGGTCATATGCTAACTACGTCAGATGGAAACATGTATAATCTGACCTCTTTGGAATTATCTTAATTTCAGAGCGCACACATTTGCAGTCCGTTTATCCGTACACACGAGTCCTTATTTCCGCCATACCACAGAATCCGATCTTCTTCCTTTCAAAATTTGTTTTTTTTTTTGATAACTTATCGGAAACGAAAGGCTCG